TGCTGAACCCCTAGGAGGGTCTTCAAATCCACTCCTCCCACCAAGCCAAGCCACAACAATACAAGCACCAAGGTTTGGGAGCTTCTCCGAGCCGGCAACTCAGCTGACACCACTTCCCCAGCCGCTGCACCTGTCAGCTCTTAGTATTTCAAAGTGAAAAGCAGGCTGGTCAACTCGAGTCTTCTTGCCACAGGGGAAACTAGCTAGGGCTTACCATTGCCTGGAATGTATTTTTACATATATTTCTAAAAGAACATTTTATTAAAGCTCTTATGTTAAAACTCGGTTATGTAACCTTGTTTATTGGCTTATCTTAAAAAAGCGAAAGTAAGATCAAGCGTTAATAGGACATCTGGCTGGTTTTATCAGCTTAGTTTCAGCCAAGAGGACCACCAAGAGAGCTCTCAACCACTAAGTGATGGCCAGCTAACGCCAAGAGTCTTTCAGACCATGCAAACATGCTTTAAGCCAGTCAGGGGGCTTTATTCACCTGAAGGGTCCATCTATCACTCTGAACCAGTACAGTTCAATAACTTTCATCTACTTCCCAGCGTGTGGCTTTTACAGAAAAAGCCAATACAGCTCAGGAAGCACAATTAGCATCCCAAACGTAGCTGATTCATGTATTAGATGCAGTAGGTACAGCATTATGGCTAGTGCCTGCATACATTTGCAAGACCATCTGAAAAGCAGCTTCATTCATAATTGTCATCAGAACTTGCTTGTTTTCATGCTCCACAAACTCATCTGTAAGAATTGCATCTGTCTTTGGTGCTTGCTGAGTAGTGAATTAAAAACAGTAGCTACTGTTTCTGTTGATTCAGAGCCTGGAAACTTTCAGACAGGTTGAGTAGCAGCAGGGTACTTACCTGAGCAAAGTGAGACCATGAAGATCAACCTTGTTAAATGCAGCAAATACACCAGGAGCAGAGCAAAAAGTTGGAGAGTTTGTGAATAAATGCCTGTGTGTGACACAGGGCTATCCTACCAATGCAGAGTCAGTAAGTTTGAGGTAT